AAGGGAGTGGATCCAGATGGGAGGGGACTTAGGGAGGAACTTGGAAGAGTAGAGGGAGGGGAAACCATAATCAGGCTATATTATGTAATACTGTATGATGTGAGAAAAATATCTTTAAAATAAAGGGAAAAAGAAAATAGAGTTATTTTGATTGCAAAAAGAAAAGTATATAGATGAACTAAGGGAATAGGATTAAGTGATGTATGTTATTAGTCAAATGATCTTTTATTTTCATCTGACACTGATGATTCAAGAAGAAACCCCTAGGTCCCAATTTAAAACCACATTGAACTGTCTAGTAATGGAAGTACCACATATAAAGCCATGGGGAAATATTAGAGACATGATCTTGCTCTGTGGTCCAAGTTGATGTTCAACTTATGAGTGGAATTTTTTTCTCTTTTCTTAAAATGTTTTATTGAATTTTCTTTGACAATTTTGTGCATATATAAATTATATTCAGATTGCTGCAAACCCTCTATCCTTTCTAGTCTCCCTCTTACTTCTACCAAACCCCTCCTCCTCTAATTCTATTTCAGACATTTTTTTTGAGTACTGCAGAGTTTAACCAGAGTCTCTTGTATGACCATGGGTTTGAAACCATCCATTGGAGATTGAAGTGGGGGGCAGGCAAGGGGGGCTTCAGGGCTCAATGGATTCACAACTGAAGATAATGACCATCCATCCCTCAAAACCCATCAGGAGCTAATATTTCAGTAAGGGAGGGCAAGGCTGAATGAGTTCTTGCCCGGCCCATGGTTGACTGTTAAGAGGCTTAGTCATGGGTAGACTTATTGCATATACTCACAACTGCTGTGAAGTCATGACTGAATTAGTTGTACTGTGCCGAAAAGACAGTCTTTCATAGCCTCCCCCCTTTTTGGTTTTTTGAGACAGGGTTTCTCTGTGTAGCTTTGGAGCCTTTCCTGTAACTCACTCTGTAGCCCAGGCTGGCTTTGAACTCACTGAGATCTGCCTCCTGAGTACTGTGATTAAAGGCATGTGCCACCGCCGCCGCTGCCGCCGCCACCACCACCGAGCAATAGCCCTTCTTCTTCTTTTTTTTTTATTTTTAAAATGTATTTTTTTTATTTTTAAAATGTATTTTTTTTATTTTTATTTTGCAATACAATTCAGTTCTACATATCAGCCACGGATTCCCCTGTTCTCCCCCCCTCCCGCCCCCCTCACCTTCCCCCCAACCCCCCCCCATTCCCATCTCCTCCAGGGCAAAGCCTTCCCCACAGACTGAGATCAAGCTGGTAGACTCAGTCCAGGCAGTTCCAGTCCCCTCCTCCCAGGCCGAGCCAAGCAATCCTGCATAGGCCCCAGGTTTCAAACAGCCAACTCATGCAATGAGCACAGGACCCGGTCCCACTGCCTGGATGCCTCCCAAACAGATCAGGCCAATCAACTGTCTCACCCATTCAGAGGGCCTGATCCAGTGGGGACCCCTCAGCCATTGGTTCATAGTTCATGTGTTTCCATTCATTTGGCTATTTGTCCCTGTGCTTTATCCAACCTTGGTCTCAACAATTCTCGCTCATATAAACCCTCCTCATTCTCTCTAATTGGACTCCCAGAGATCCACCCGGGGCCTAGTCATGGATCCCTGCATCCAGATCCCTCAGTAGTTGGATGAGGTTTCTAGCACAACAATTAGGGTGTTTGGCCATCCCATCACCAGAGTAGGTCAGTTCGGGCTGTCTCTCGACCATTGCCAGCAGTCTGTTGTGGGGGTATCTTTGTGGATTTCTGTGGGCCTCTCTAGCACTTTGCTTCTTCCTATTCTCATGTGGTCTTCATTTACCATGGTCTCCTATTCCTTGTTCTCCCTCTCTGTTGTTGATCCAGCTGGGATCTCCCGCTCCCCCAAGTTCTCTTTCCCTCGACCCTCGCCCTTCACCACCCCCACTCATGTCCAGGCTGTTCATGTAGATCTCAATCCATTTCTCTGTCATTGAATAGCCCTTCTTCTTATCTTCCATCTTTTACATTCTTTTTGGTCTTTTTTCCGTTTTGATGCATGCATGCTCAGCTCTAAATAAGACATTAATACCATTCAACCATCGCTTATTATCAAGCACTTAGAGCAGTTACACATATTTTTATTCACCACTATTTATCTCAAAAAGGGCTTTTCTGAGTCTTGGAGCAGCATTTCTCTATGAATATAAATACAGATACTTAGCAGGGAGCTTGGCACCATGACAGTTTACATAAGCAGCAGTAAGTAGTAAGTTCTCCCCTAGGGCTGAATACCTCCTCAGCCATGGTTTTTGATCAGATTGAGAGTACCAGGTATGAATTCCCTCTTGTGGAGTAGGCCTCAAATCCAATCAGAGGTGCATTGATTACCCTTCTAACAGCCATGCCAATAATTATGCAGGTAGTCACATTTTGCCTGGCAGGTTCGTGATGTAGATCATAGGTTTCATGTCTGGGTAGGAATGTTGCTGCCTTTACTCTGCCAGCATCGTGCATAGTACAGTCCACTCCTAGAAGAGCTAACTGGCAGGAAGTTTCTAGCTCCTTTCCAGCTCAATTTCTCTACACTTTGTGACCAAGGCGCTTTGTCTTCAGCAGCAGGGTCTTATCACCTAGTTATGGTGGGCAAACAAAACAAATGTTGAGAACCTCGATTGTTTTTCAGACTTCTGGGGACTTCTTGACATGGGAGTATCTTGTATCTGGCACTGGAATTTTTTGTTTTTGTTTTTGTTTTTGCTTGGCTTTCAGAAGCAGCATTATGTAAACATACAGTACATCTACCTTCTAAATCTCTCTTTTGTAACTTACATATTTTGAATTGGACTATAAAGTAGAAATTTTATATATGGCTTTTTAAAATGTATCCTTAGCTTTAGTTAACCCTTTAGTTAACCTCATGTCACCCATTTTTCTACCCATCTCTGCTTAACTTTCCTCATGGGTGGAATTATTATATTACTGATTATATAAAGTAACAACAGGTTTATGCAAAAGTAAATATTTTTACAACTTAAGCATTCCTGGGAACATGAGAAGAAGGGCCCAACACAAAAATCAATAAATAAAGAAAAAAAGAGGTGGCCCTTGGATATGGTAAATGGCCTATGGAGCCACTATAAGCTAAAAGTGATACTGATTAGGGATCACAGTCCCTAATAACATTCAGTGTGGTGGGATCTTCAGTCTTCTCACAGATTATTCCTGTAAACTAACAGTAGAAATAAAAAGGCAGTTCTAACTCTAAGAAAATCTACATAGATGCAACCAAAATCAGATTTCTAAGAGGCAGAGATGACAAAGAGAAAACAATATAGAAAATGAAACATTCTTATTACCTCTGAAAACCATCATATAGAGAGAATTAACAAGTTTAGATAGGCAAGTTACAGGCAAATCTGTGAAGGGCGACATGTCCCAGATGAAAGAAAATGTCTTCAAAGCAGTTTTGAAAATGGATACAGACTAAAAGAATGTTAAGTTCTTTATGCTTTTTAAATTATGAATCCTTTATTCTCACCTGCTTCTGGGAAGAAGGCTATAAAACTATCCTTGCATTTATGCAAGGAAATGCCAATAAAATATACTGTTTTTTTTTTCAAAATAACTGACAGTATTTTTAAGTATATTATCACAACAAATGTTAAGGTGATAATTGTTAATTGACTTCATTTAATCATTTCATATTGCATCAAAAATCACATTTCAATCCGTATGTGCAATACAATTTTTTTTTTTTTTTTTTTTGGTTTTTCGAGACAGGGTTTCTCTGTGTAGCTTTGCGCCTCTCCTGGAACTCACTTTGGAGACCAGGCTGGCCTCGAACTCACAGAGATCCGCCTGGCTCTGCCTCCCGAGTGCTGGGATTAAAGGCGTGCGCCACCACCGCCCGGCTGTGCAATACAATTTTAAGTTGTCAATTGTAAACAATACCAAAACAAGGAAAAGATAATTTAAAAAGTAACACAATTAATATTTGAAAATGGGGGGTGAAATATGAGTTATTAATTCCACAAATAATGAACATCTGACAAACAGTGCATTAGTTGCTGGTTTGTGACAGTGAATGAATAGATAAAAACTATTCTGTGAAAATAACCTTGGGAATTTAGTTGTCATTGTCCGTGCATATTATTATGAGATTGGTGTGCTTTGTGAAGACATGATGGGCCCTGCACGAGCTAATAAAGCCTCACTCACACAATCTACAGGTAAAAAGGATGAAAAGTATGATGCTGTCATTTTAAGATATGAGAATCTACTAATGGATAAAATATTAATATTGAGATTTAGAAAAATAGTTCAATATTACTATTAAAGTTCAGCAAGGAAACATTGAAAGATACTTATCTTATTTCAGATAGGGAGGAGTGATGTGCTATCTTAATTAGTCTTATCAATAAAAACCCATATTCAGATATTGAGGGTGAAAACTGAAAGATCAGAGATGCAGAGTAGCCAGCCACTAGAGACTTCTTACCTTTATGAAATCTCAGACCGAATGGGGGTGGGGGGAGCCCTCTAGGAATCCTTGGAATGAATGAGGCTGAGATCCTGTCTCTACCAGCCTAGTGTTGGGTTCAAAGGCTTGAGCCTCCCAAGTGCTGGGATAAAAGGCATGACATCCCAAGTGCTGAGATCAAAAGTGTGAGCCACCACTGCCTGGCTCTGTTTCTCTTTTAGACTGGCCCAGGGTGGCCTTGAACTCCTGATCTTCCTGCTTCCTCCTCCGAAGTGCTGGGATTAAAGGTGTGAGCAGCACTGCCTGGCCTCTATGGTTAACTAGTGGCTGTCTCCACCCTCTGTTCTCCAGGCAAGCTTTATTTGTCAGAACACAAACAAACTATCATACAACAGAGAAGTTCTACTCAGAGACATAAAAACAAATAAATATTTGACTTTTTTTTTTAAAGAATTGCAATTTATTTACAGTAAATAGTCTCAAGGAAACTTAATAGGCAAATGTAAACCAGTAAAACAAAAACATAAACCATGCATACATATACACATTAATCAAATAACTGGATTTTTAAGGAACCTTAAGCAAACAAAATATTTTTAAATCTATATATGAATAGGTGAAGCATACACAGAAATTTTGGGCATATGCACACAACTACATACATGGAATTAATACTTGTCTTTTATAGTAATGAAAAATGACTACTAAAATAAGCAATAACAATGTTTACCATTTAAATTGCTAAAAGTTGTTGGTAAAGGATTACATTCAATACTACTATCATACTCCAGAGGTGGGAGTTGGAATACGTACAATCTTTAACACTCATCAAGATGAATTTGACTTGGTCGTTATCTTATAGAAAAAAATTCATCTTAAAAGACTGAGGCAGTGGGTTTTTGACTTTGAGTGAGGTCAGCTTAAGCAACATAGTGTGACCCATTCAGAAACCATGGAGGGAAAGGAGGGAGCAGAGGAAAGGAGACGGAGAATGGGGAAAAGAAAAGAAGACAGGAAGAAAGGAAAGAAGGAAGGAAATTAGGTAGAAGGGAAGGGAGGAGAGATGAAAGGAGGGGAGGAAGGGAGGGAGGGAGGAAGAAGCTAAGAAGCTAGGTCACACTCCAGACATTTAAAAGGGCCTGTTGGCAAGGGGTGGGGCCTCTGCTCTAGGAGGGCAGAAGTAGACAGTAAGGAAAGGCCTGCCTTCTCTGTGACGTTTGAGAATGTGCCAGAGGTATCCAGTGAGCCTGGGCAGTACGGGCGGCACAGTACAGCAATGCCATGAGAGAAAAGCCTCTACAAGAGTCTCTTTGAGAGGTTCCAGGAGAGTTCATCAATGGGGCTTTTAAGCAGCCGAGTCTTGAGATGCAGTGATTCCAGTCCTGTAGAGGCAGAGCAGCCAGAAGCCACTGCGGGTCCCAGTTTCCTGTCAGGCAGTCGCAAGCGCAAACAGAGAAGTTGGGACTGTTCGGGACCGGCACCCAGCTCTACCATCCATGGATCTCAGAACCAGGGAGTAAATCTACAGCAAGTTTTTGGCATCGTCTGCAGGAAAAAAGTGAAGCGCTCATCTAAGCGTGCTTACCAATCTTTATTTTTGGATGGGCAAGACAGTGATATCAAAATTCGTGCTCTAGGGAAAACATGGCCTTTACACAAAGTATTTTTATGTCGGTCAGGCTACTTTGCTAATATGCTCAAAGGTTCTTGGAAAGAATCGCACAATGATATTATTGAACTGGAGATTAAGAACGAGGACATCGATGTGAGCTCCTTGTGCTTTGTGTTTGGTTCCTTGTACAGGGACGAGGTCCTGCCAATCAAGCCCCTCCAAGTTCCTCATGTTTTGGCCGCAGCAAGCCTGCTTCAGGTAGAGCACGTAGTTCAGCAATGTAAGGAGACCATGATGAGAACCATTAACATGAAAAACGTGTGTTCGTTCTATACAGCAGCAGAAACCTATCAATTGAAATCTGTAAAGACCCAGTGCTTTGAATGGCTTCTTTGTCATTTGATGACACACCCGAGTGTTGGACTTTACAAAGAAATTGACATAAAGCTCATGTACCTTCTTGTGTCTTCATCAGACCTGCTGGTGATGCAAACGGAAATTGATATATATACCACACTCAAAGAGTGGATATTCCTTTATCTTAATCCTCACTGGAAAGGTTCAGTGGAACAGCTTTTAGCTAATGCCAACAGCTGGCTTTCCAAGCACATGGAAGGTAGTGAGAGCATCACTTTTCTTGAAAGTGAAGAAGGACTAATATTTCAACCAGTGTTTAAAAAACTGAGGTTTCAGCATATCATCTGCGAACTAGCCTCCACAACTCTTCTTGAACGAGATCGTCTAATACCTTTGGAATGGTTGTCACCCATTTATAAACAACAATGGCTGACTTTGCTCCACTCCCAACAACACAGGGAAATTGGGCCACGAATCATCAATGAAAAAGAACTTGAAGGATGTAGCATGAGATGTGGTACAAAGATCAGCAGAGATGGTAAATACTCCTGGAAGTGGTCACATTGCAAATTTAGCTTTCCTTTACATATCATCTTTACCAATCGTTATATCATCTTTAAGCAAAACCGACAACCATGTGATGGTTCTGCCTGTTTAAAACAGATACGGAATGTAGTATTCAGAATGACTTTGGTGTATTTTGACTCTGATGGGAAACTAACTTTCAGTAGAACAACTGGTTATAAAACTATTACTTTCAAAAATAATGAGGAACAAATTGCAATGAAGTTAGATGGCATAATTTTAAGCTTCCCTTTATATGTATTCTGCAACTTCCTGTTTATATCATTAGCAAATACGGAAAACATGTGATCTTGTCAATTATTAGAACATATGAGCAGTTTGAAAACACTGAGTGACTCATTTAATTTGAAGGCTGCATTGTGAACACAGTTAAGGTGACCGACAACAAAATGAAAATTCTTAGGAGTCTAGTACCACCACAAATGACTGCTTGTCTTCTCTTGATGTCTATACATTTCTGAAGAGAACTTTCACTTCCAACAAATTTGTTCGAAAAACCTTCACTTTCCAACAAAGCAAATGAAAAGAAGCTGGTATTTTGATTTCCATTTACCATCAATGGTCAAGCTTTGAATGGAAATAAGAGACTATATTTGCAAAGAAAAACATCTAAATGAACTTGTTACGTAGCTTTGACCCTAACCAAGTTTGAGACTAAATAAAAGAAAATTCTCTCCACTGCTGAAACTGTTATGAACCGTAGCTTATATATTAGCTTATAAGATGTAAATCAATGGTTAAAAAATAATTGAGATTAGTCACTGTTGATGCATGCTTTCAAATAACCAAATAGTGTCAAGTTTTTCCATATTATGTATCATAATTTGTTGGTATTTTAGAATTGATTTTTCAGATTATTTTTACATGATTTGGATACCTTTTACTGCTGATTATCTTTAACTATATATGCACAAAATAGATATTTATCTTATAATTATCATGTCACATGCTATATAAACAATTGAATTACATATGCAATGTGTTTGCATAGAAGTATATATGTTTACATACATGTATTTATATCTTTATGTAACTGTAAGAACCAAAGAATGAAATTATTCATGGTTCCAGTTATCTGGCTGTCAAGATATAAGTTATTTCATAGTATCCTGTTCATTTTCTTTGCCTTAGTTTCTTTTCCTGTTACTTGATAAAAATACCCTTATGAAAGCAACTTAAGGGAAAAAGTTAATTATATCTCATGTTTCAAGAGTATGTTCCATCATGGCAGGAGTTTGAAGCAGCTGGTCACATAACCTCTACAATGAAAACAGATGAATGTTCTGTAAGTACTGGGCTTTCTCCGTTGTCATCTTGACAACTGCAGCTATCACAACTCTACCCCTTGTCAACATGACACCCAAACACATCTCTTTTCAGCCATAACCTTCCATCCCTTTGTCCTCATAGGCTCATGACCATGTTATGGCATAAAACACATTTAGTCCAACTTTAAAAGTCTCCATATACAGTTCCAACACTTTCCTTTGTTTGAATTATCTGCATTATTTTTCTTTCATTCATGAATATATTTTGTTTTTATACTCACTGCCTCCTCCCACCTTCTGGGTCTGTCTTTCCACATCCCCATCCCAACTTCATTTGTTTTTATATATAATCTACTGAGTCCAACCCATTGTCCATATGCACATGGGTGTAGGGCTGTGCACTGTAAGATGGACAACCTACCAGGGACCTTATCACTGAAGAAATCTGACTTACTCTCCCCTGGCAGTTCTCAACTGTCTGTAGTTGATCTACAGGATAGGAGCCTTGTGAACTTCTCCACCAACTCTGCTGAATAGTGACCAGGTAGATCATATGCAGACTTGTGTGTTGTGTATGCAATTATGGCTGTTGAAATTGAGGGCCATTGCCTGTCTAAAAGACACTGTTTTGTGACAGTCCTCCCTGACTTTTGGATCTTAGAATCTTTTTGCCCCCCTCTTCTGCAGTGTTCCCTGAACCTTTGGAGGAGGAGTTGTAATGTGGTGGAGTGACCATCCACAACCAGTTCCAAATATTGAAAACGCTGCCGTTTCTTAGTTGTGAGCACACCAAATGAAAAAGACATTATATACTTCTAGGGAAAGCACTTTTGTAGGCAGCTGCTTTTGAAAAATAAAAGGAAGGTCTTTTGCTTAGACTTTCTCTCTTTCAATGAGTTAGGATCGTCACAGGATGGAGTCTCCAAGGACTTATGCTTTGCCCTCAGAACACCTTTCCTATCGTCCCAGTGCAGCACAGGTTTCCCTTCAGTAGTGCTGATCTCTTGAATTGCTTCCTCCGAACTCTAATACTCACCTGCTTTGAAATGTATTTTCTTTATGTGTATGGAGAGAAATGGAAGGAAACTTAGGAGAGAAATGGTTTGCTTCAAAATGCATGGATACCATTCCCCATGTTTTACCTGCATGTATGCCTGTACACTACTTGTGTGCTTGGTGGCCATAGAGGCCAGAAAAGGGCATTGGATCCCCTGGGATTGAAGTTACAGGTGTTGTGAGCAACTATGTGGAGGCCAGGAACTGAATCCAGACTCTCTAGAAGAGCAGCCAGTACTCTTAACCACTGAGCCATCTCTCCAGCCTATGCTTGCCCGGCTTGAACTTTCCTCTGCAAAACAAACTAGCCCGTTATCTTTAAATTGAGCTTCACTCAGCCTCTCAGAATATGGAGAGAATGAAGACAGATTTGTGGCCAAATTATCACACTAGAGTTCCTTTTGAAACCTCACGAGTTGGCCTCTTGTGTCTACATGTCTCTCAGAGTCCTTGTCTTTCAAGCTTCTACCAGAATTGCCCATTAAACTCTCTCCTTTGAGCCTGTTTAAGCTTTCTAGTCCTAAGTACCAAACTCTTGCACATTTCAGCCCAGAACAGTTACAGAGGGAGGCCAAAGAAGCACTTAGGTTTATCACAGCAGCAGCCCCACTTCTCTACCAATTTGTGCCTTAGTTTCTGTTCCTGTTGCTGTGCTAGAAAGCCTCTCCAAAAGCAACTGCGGAGAGAAATGGTTTGCTTCACAATGCAAGGATACTGTTCCCTGTGTCAGGTAACTCATAGCTGGCCTTCAAACACTTCAAAGTAGCTAGTCACCTTTGCAGCCACAATCAGCACGTGATATATGCCATGTTAGCTCTCAGCTTGCTTCCTCTATTTTATACAGTCTAGAATTCCCCAAACAGGAAACTATACCACCTTAGGTGGGTGGGTCTTCCTACCTCACTTAACACAATTAACAGCCCCCCCCCCCCACGGCATGCCCAGAGGAAGCTCCTTTCCCAGGTAATTATAGATTCAAGTTGACAGTATTAAGAATCACACTCTACTTGTGCTATTTGGGTTTTTTATTTTATTCATTTAAATCTTCAATTTTTAAAAACTTCAATTTTTTTATTTTAAACATAATTCTTTATTGATTCTTTGGAAATTTTATATCATGCACTCCAACCCTGCTCACCTCCCAGTCCCTGCATTCTGCCCCTCACCCTTGTGGTATGCTCCCCAAATAAATTGAAAACAGAACAACCAAAAGATAAAACCCCACCTGGCTTCCCCATCTTTATGACAGCTCTTCATTCATCCTAGTGACATTGGGAGAGGGGGTGCATTATGCAGTATACTCCTTTTATCCAATCAAAATGTTCATTACAGTGAGTCATTGGTCTGGTTCAAGGCCTCTGGTTTCTGGTACACCATCATCACTGGGCCAAGCCTTCATGGAAACTTTCTCTTGAATATTCTCTTGTTGCCCTGAGTCATGAAGATTCTGAGGTTATAGTTCTGCAGGACCAGTCTCTTTCCAAATTCCAGGAGGTCAAAGATGGGGCAACTGTTAGGATGGGCCAACCCAAGGCCCAGGATGTGAGTCTGGGTGGTAGTTGAACTGGTCTGTCCAAGCGATTGGGACCACCCCCTCAGGTGGGGGACAGAGCCATCTCTCCTAGGACTATGTCACTGGGGCCAGCTCTCCAGAGGAGTGCTGGGGTCAACTCTCCCATGGAGGGAGGCAATGTCAGCTCTCCTCCTAGAGTGTCCAGGGAGGGCCAGGGACAGCTATCCAGGAGCCAATGAGGGACAGGGCTGGTTCAACACACATGGCTCCTATATGGCAACACAAACCATGGACATCAGACTAGATCCTGGCTGCTGTTGGGCCACAGACCCAGACACGGCTCACAGCAGAAGCCTGGGCCCAGCCATGTGTGGCTGCACAGGCCACTTGAATTGGCCTGATCACTGTGGTAGTGAATCTCTCAGACATCAACATGGCCACAGGTGGCGGCCCAGACCCCTGGCATCTGCATTGACTTCCACGGTATAAGAAACCACAGACTTCAGCACAGACCTTGGCTGCTGTAGAGCCAGGGACCCAGACATTCATGTCTGGCCATGGACCAGCAGCACTGGCCCAGAGGACACCATGGCCCCAGCTGCAGCATGACCCTTGGATACCAATATCGCCACAGGATGCAGCCTAGACCCTGGGCATCTGTGACCTTTGGTGGCACCACAGGCCACGTACATCACAGGCCCCAACTGTAATAGGATCATCGACCCAGACATGATCCAATGCAATAGCCTAGGCTCGAATGTCACCATGGCCCCAGGTGGCAGCACAGCCCACTCAGATCCACAGGGCCCCCACAGGTGGCCCAGACCCCTGGCATCAGCATACCCTTTGATGGTATCAGGAGCCACGGACATTGACTCAGACCCACGCTGTTTGCCGTAGGGCCATGAACCCAGACATGGCCCCTTGCCACAGCCCAGGCTTGGATGTCACCATGGCCCTAGGTGGCAGCACAGGTCATTCAGATTAGCATGGCTCCAGCGGACGCATGGCCCTGGGAGAGCAACACGGACTCAGGTGTTTGACCAGAACCCAGTCACCTTACAGCCTTCAGTGATTACTGAAGCCTTGAATATCAACACAGACCCTCGCTGCTGCAGGGGCACGGACCAAGACATGACCCCTGGCAGCAACCCAGGCCCAGTGTCATCAAGTGCTCTGGGTGGAAGCACAGGCCACTCAGATCACCATGGCCCTGGTGGGGGTACGGCCCATGGGCACCACCATGGTCACAAGTGGTGGCCCACATCCTGGGTATCCCCGTGGCCCTCTTGGCAACATGGTTTATGGACATCTCCATAGACCCTGGCTGTCACAGGCCCAGCAGCAGCTCAGGCCTGGATGTCACGCTGGTCGTGGTAACCTGGTGGCAAGCAGGTCACCAAAATCAGACCATTCCTCAGAGCCCTTGCTTCTTCAGACCTGCGTCTTACTACAGCCTCTCTTTCTCTCTGATTTCAACACTATATACTTGCTCATCATAAAGACACCCAATGGCCTGACGCCTTGTTGCACTGGGTGGGAATGTGGGTGTTTCAGGCAGGCTGGACCATGTGGACCCCGGCTGCCCTGTGGGTGTCTTTCACCCCCCTGATCCACAAGGCTCCAGGCAGGCTTGCAGATACTTCAAGCACCCTAGACTATGAGGACTCAGGCTTCCCTTGGGTGTCTTTCTTTTGCCTGAGCTGCATGGCATCCGGGGGCCTGTGGATGCGTCAGGCAGCCTGGATAATGAGGACTCATGGGTGTCTTTTGCTTCTAAAAACTTTATTTTTAATTGATGACTATTTATTGCACATATTTTTAGGCTTCATAAAGACAGTTTCTTTGAGGTATGCCATTACCATATTCACTTTCCTTTTTTAAGCATTTTTTTGTTTTGTTTTGTTTTTCGAGACAGGGTTTCTCTGTGTAGCTTTGTGCCTTTCCTGGAACTCACTCTGTAGCCCAGGCTGGCCTCGAACTCACAGAGATCCACCTGCCTCTGCCTCCCGAGTGCCATATTCACTTTCCAAACTTTCTTTTTTCAGTTTCCCTGTTCTTCCTCCTGCTACTCTCCCCCCTGCTTGCTTTTCTTCTGCTTTCTGTTATATATATGCCATATAAAAATGTTTTATGTTTCTATAGAAAATAGAGATTCCAGAAATGAAACAAAATACAATATTGGTTTTTCTGAGTCTCAGTTTGCTTCATATGGTGATCTCAGGTTTCATTCATTTTCCTAGAAACCATACAATTTCATTCATTAAAACTTTCTTATTTTTATTAATTTTTTCCAACAATGTATTGCAATTATATTTTCCCCTCCTCTGACTCCTTCCAGATCCTCCTCACTTCTCTTCACACATACATTCATGTTCACTTTTTCTTGATCTCTTTCTCTCCCATACACACACACATACACACACACACACACACACACACACACACACACACACACACACACACACACAAACAAAAAATAAACTAACAACCCAAAAGACAAAAAATATACAATTTAGGAAGCTTCTGCAGTAGTAGGTTTCTACATGGCTTTTCAAAAGGCTTTAGCCTTTGTTGTCCCTTACTACATCCTATCCTTTACCTTGCCTTCCCATCCCTCTCCTTATTTAATCCTTCCATTCTAGTTTTCCTTTATCTCTTTATAACATTATATTTTCCCTTCCTTGGAAGATCCTCTCCTCCACTCTGGTCCTTTATTAGTTTCCTGACCTCTATAGTTATTTGGATTGAAAAACACATCTAAATTTAAAAGCTAACACCCACATAGAAGAGAAAATATGCAATATGTATCTTTCTCTGTC